GGTGCCTGTCGGCCTTTCGTGCGCCTCCCTGGCGCTCTTGGGGCTCTCCCTCTAACCTAAAGAACCTCGCGCCCAGAGAGGCCGGAAGCCTCTTTAAAAACGGGAGCGCCCTCCACCCCAACTCGGCTGCCAGCCGACCGGGAGGAATTGCGACGCAGAAAGTCAAAAGGAGGATCCTCCCCTTCCTCCTCGCCGGCCTTTATTTAAATTCCGGGGCTCCGGTGACACCGTTGCGGTGAGGGGCGCGGACGCTTCCTCGCGAAATGCGAGCCGGCGAGGCCTCCACGTTTTGGGGAACCCTGGCGGCGGCCGGGAGTTTGCGCTGAGGACTGAGGGCTCGGCGGCCGCGGTGACAGTGCCGGTGGGGCCGCGGTCCTGGGCACTACCCACCTCGCGGAGGCCGTGCCCGGCTGGCCTCGTCGGAGTCCGCCTCCTGGGCGGAGCCGGGGCGGGGGTGTGTGTGGACACGTGTGTGTGCGTGTGTGTGTGTGTGTGTGTGTGCCGACACGTAAGTGCGCGGACGGGCGCGGAGGTGTCAGGAACTGGGACGTTCGGGGTGGGTGGCACTTTGAGTCATTTGTGAATGTGTGGATTTGGCAAACCCGGACAACTGAAACAGACGAGCGCGGAGCGCGGTAGAGACCGCACCTGAAGCAACTATGCCTTGATTCTGGGTATGCACTGGGGGCTCCGGGAAATGTGTATTTGAAATTTGCTTTTGGTGTGCCGGTGTTTTTGTTTGTTTTGTGATTCCGTTCTACTTTAGCTTTTCAATCAGGCCCCATTAGGAAGTACCTTAAATTCAGAGCTAAGCCTTCCAGGATTTTGCTTGCATTCGTTACGCACGGAATGCTTTAGGAAAGACGATTCGAGAGCTGTCTTTCATTTTTTTGTGTCTCCTGGCTCTTTCCACAAATAGGAAGCTATTTCTAGAACCTTTCATCTGATGATTTGATAACATCAAGTGAGCTGCTTTTTAAACTGCAGACTGAGGAGAAAGAAAAGTGAAATAAAATGAGGATTAACATCCTTTTTAAATGCAGTGACTCTGGAGAGAGATGCCTTCTGGTTTTAGTAGCAGATTACTGTGAAGCTCTCCGTAGTTTACGCTGGGGGCAGGTGGATGGAATTATAAATCAGAAAAAGAGAGTAATATATTTCACCTGTTTTAAAGCTAAATAGATGAATTACACATCACTGACCACATCGAGGCTAGGAACCTTCTGGAGAAAGGATGCAGGAATCAAGGAGGAAGATTTGAAATCTCTTTGGCAGAACTCCTCCTTTGGCATGAAAAGAAGAAACACAGTTGGTTAAGCAGGCAGTTTTACTTTTTCAGTAAGTAGTTGGGTTTTTATTTTTGAAAAAGGAAACAGAGATTGCAAAATGTTCCAAATGGTGTGGTTGAAGCCATTGGTTATAGCATTTCATTCTAAGTAACAAATCTAAATTTCTTAAGGTTTGCATAATAATTTATAAAAACTTTTTTTTATACGTAAGAGTTGCACCCGGACTGGAGATACAAGATAGTTTTGCTTCAGTTTCAGAAATAAAAATATTCTCCAAATTGAATGGAAGTTTCTTACATTACATAAAAATAAAGTTATGATGAAAATATCTTAAAATCATGCAGGACTTTTTCTTTTAAGAGACTTAAAGTGCCTCTCAGTACCATCTTGTTTTGCATGAAAGAGGATGTGGTGTTGAGAAAGAAGGAAAGATAGAAGAAAGACTTCAAAACAGGTGTGGTAAAATAAGCTATAATATGTGCGGTACATGGAAAAAAGGAAGGAGAAAATTGAATTATTTTTCAAAAATTTATCTTTTTAACCTAAATGGGGAATTTAAAAATAATTTTATTTTTACTTTTACATCTATTACAAATGCCAGGAATTTTTGAAGGTGCTCTTTACGTCTCTAAGTTCACTTTTAGAAGTGACAGCTTCGTAGTTGATTAGCAGTTATCTTACTGATATTTTAACCAGATTTTTGAGATACAATGTTTGGGGAATATTCAAGCTTGTGTGATTTAAAGATATTTTATTTTCAGAAGTTTTCTTTCCCTTTTGTTTTCAATAACATGAAAGTACTTTGTAGAGTTCTATACAAATATTAATTATTATTTAACTTGCAGATCTGCCAGGTGAGGTGGAAGGAACCATTCTGGCTTGTGGTACGGATGCCAAGTGTGTGACCTGTGGTGAGTTACTTAATTTCTCTGAACCTCGGTTTCCTCATCTTGTACTTGGGGGTAATATGTAACTCACAGAATTGATAAGAGGATTAAACGGGAGAATCTACGTAAAGGACTCAGGATAGCTGCCTAGAGAGAGATCTTAACAAATCCTTACTGACTTCCTTCTGCTGTGATGTAGTGAGAACAAGGTGAGCCCAGGAAGTAGGAGACCTAGTTTCTAGTCTCCGCTTCAATCATTTACTTCTCAGAGGACCAAAGTTAGCTTCAGCTGCCATTAAATGAGGTTAGAAATGTAACTCTATGTCTTAGAGGTTAGATCAAATGGACTTGTAAAGTCTCTCTAATAAGATGGATCCCTTTGATGATATAACTCTGCCTCTTTAGACATTTACTACATTTTGAAATAGGACTTGCAGGTGTCGGGGGCATGTGTTTCTATGTGTGAATCAGTAAGTGAACTAGTTTTTTTGTTAAGTCAGGGTGGATGTGGAGGAAAGTCTGGCTAACTCTGTTGAGATTGCCTCACCCATCCCTCCTGTCTCTGGCTAACGTAGGTTCCGGTTGCCTGTAAACATGGCCAGTGATTCAGCTAATATGAGCTCACTACTGCAACATCTTTTAACATTTGTTTTCAGAATTGGAGTAGGAATGTAGCTTGGCTTTGTTTTATTTCAGTGATAGTGTAGCATCCTGTTTAAGAGCATGGACTTTGGAGTCTTGGAGTCAGGTAGGTAAGATTTGAGTCCTGTCTTTGCCACTTAAACTAAGTTTCTACCACAGCTGGTACTTATTTACACATTCTTGGGCAAATGACTTCACCTTGCTCAGTCTTGAGGTTATTGTAAAGGGCAAATTAAATGATCTAAGTAAAGTTTTTAGCACAGACTCAGACACACTGTAGGCTTGCAGTAATAGTTGTTGAATAAAGAAAAAGAGATAGTTACTATTTATTGAGTCCCTACTTTGTGCCAGACACTATTCTAGTCTCTGGGGGTAGACACATGAATGAAAGAGGCTCAGTTCTTCACAGAGCTTTCATTCCCCAACTCTAGCACTGAGAAACACCAAGTGGATGACAGCTTGGGTTGTAAAAGGCGTTCTACTTTCAGAGCTGCTAAAATGTGGTGAGAGGAGAGTCCATTTTGGAATGGAGGAGATACATTGTTGTTGTTGGGTTTTTGTTATTGTTGCTATTGCATTGGGATATTTACCTCACATTACCTGGCAAGCATAACTGTTAAATTTAGATTGTGGGAGTTCTGGTTTTCTCAGATTTAGACTCAGTCCTCTAGGCACTTAGGAAGCATCTCTGAGCTCCTGCCTGTATTGTGCTGGGAAGTGGAGATAGATGACGAAAACCTGGTTCTCATCGTGGAGAAGCGCTCAGTCTGCACATGGGTGGGGAATTGGGTGAGATGCAGGAAGCAGTGATCCTACCTCAATAGTACTTCTCATTTTTTCTTTATTGTGAAGTATCTGTGAGTGTGAAGCAATATGTGTGGTAGATATGCTGAGAAACAGCAGTAAAAGGGCCGGTCAGCTGAGCTACTGAAGCTCCCATTGTGCTCCTTGTGGGTTGTACCCTCCAGCTCTACACATACAAAGATCTCTCTTAATCTTTGTATTGATCTCTTTTTTGCTTTTCTTCACGGCTTTACCACCACTAATATTTTTTATCTTTAAATACCTGTTATACTTGTGTTTGGACTTCGCAAAAATGCCTCACACTCCGCATTCTTCTGTGACTCCCCCTGACCCAACACTGTTTTTAAGATTTAGCTACAGTTGTTTGTAGATGGAATTCATTTATTTTTCACTGCTGTTCAGTGTTCTATTTTATGCGTGTGCTGTAGTTTATCCATTTTCTTACAGATGGACATTTGGGTCGTTTTTGTTCTGTGTATTTCAAACAATCCTAAAATGAAGATTCTTGCGCATATATCTTGGGGTACAGATTCATGAATTTCTTGCTGTATTGTACAGTAAGATAGCCACTGCCATATGTGACTACTTGCATTAAAATAATTAAAATTAAATAACATTAAAATTCAGTTCCTCAATCACATTAGCCACATTTCAGGTACTCAGTAGCCACATGTGGTTAGTGGCTACCATGTTGGACAGTACAGATGTGTAACATTTCCATCATCACAGGAAGTTCTCAGTTGCTAGATTTTACCCATCTGTGTATCTCCAGCTCTCAGTGTAGTGAAGGAGCATCACAGATACCGGGTAGTTTGGACAGTGCTGGTCATATACCTAGGAATGAAATGACTGCTGTGGGGTGATTACATCTTCACCTTCACTAGGTGATGCCCACTTATTTTCCAAAGTGATTCTGCCAGTTTACACTCCCATCAGCTGTGGGTAAGTGTCCTGGTTGCTCTATATCGTTGACTTAACACTGTCAGACTTTTTAATTCTTGCCAGTCTGGTCAAGTGTCTTTTGAAGGCAGCCCGAAGCTTATGCAGACAATGGAGTGCTCATTCTCATAGTTTTACAAAGCCCAGCGCTGGGCAGTAAAGAAGGCCCCACCTGTGCAGGGCTCATCAGGGAGGGGTAGGAATGTTTCCTGTGTTGGTAAAAGGGCCTGAGGACCAAAGTCCAGCTGAAGTGAAGGAGAGGGAGAAAACAGCAGGGAGTGGGTTCACGTTGTTAAAAACTTCTCTCTGCCTTTGGTGCCATTTCTGCCTGTGGTAGTAAACTTTTTGACAATCAAACATGTCATTAGAATAAATCTTTTTGTTACTGGAGTTAATTCTGCATTTGAGTTTGGGCTACAGATTTCTTTAAAGCTTGGGTTTGGGGAGTGTCTGCAGAGCCCTGAAGCCTTGGACATTCCCTTTTCCTGCTGTTGAAGGAAACCCTCCCTTCCCATACACCAGTCAGGCGATGGCTTCTGAGCTTATTTGAAAGGAAGCTTATCCCTGTTAACACACGAGATCAGAAGTCCTGCCTGAGTGTTATTTAGGTGTCAGTGGCATTCAAACAAAGAAAATAAGAATCAGTTGTTAGGCTGATGTTTTGCATAGTCTGATTAACAAGACAAAGTTTAGGAATCCCAGCTTGTCTTTTAGCATTCAGCTCACTAAGACGATAAAAGAATTATCTCCCCTCCCCCTACCACCCCTTTGTCCTCCCCAGAATGTAAAAGAAAATGCGTTGAAAAAACTTTGTCCTAGCAACCTCGGATGTCCTTTGTGAGCGTTATGACTGATGGAGGTAGTGCTGCTTTGCCATCGTGCAAATTTGGCGGAACAGCAGATGCCAACCACAGGGGGAAAGGAGTCACTCCCCCAGCCTGTTTTGGGGCTCCCCTGTTTGCTGAGCTCTCAGAGAAGAGCACCGGGAGTGGGAGTAGCAGTGTCTACAGCAGCTGACTTCATGGGCCACTTACACCATATGCCCTCTTTACGGACATTCTGTCATTAGTCCTCACGACAACCCTGTCACTCTTCTTGCCACTTTGGCAACAGGAAACAGGCTTAGAGTGTTTAAATATCTTCCCCAAGGCTTCACAGCTAGCACGTGGTTAATTCTGGGGCTTGAACTTTAGTCCTTTGGACCCTTAAGCCCTACTAAGATTATCCTGAATCTTTTACCAAAAATAGATGAGGAGAAGGACTGGGAAAAGTACCAGGTGTGACATGCAGGGGATGGACCGCACATCTTTCTTCCTTTTATTTTGTGTTGGGGAGATAAGAGGCAGGAAAGGGGTGGGCTGGATTGAAGCACGTGGGACAGCTGAGGTGGTGTAGATGCTGAGTGCTGTCCTGTGTTCTTCTGTCACACCTTTTGTAACTGTGTGTCTTGAAGGGAAATAAAAGATTCTACTTCAGTAGAAGCAAGGGAGAGATGGTGAGTGAGGAAGAATGGGTGGGAGGACACAGGAGATCAGAATGCCAACTGATAAAAACATCGCTGGAGCTAGACCTTTGAATTCGCGGACATCAGTAGCTACGAGGTTCGGGATTCCACCAGAGTGTGCTCTCTTAATGGCTGGCTTCTCTTCCATGAACTGAACCTCTCTCTTGAGAGCTAGATGATTTTAGTGTCTGCTGCTCTAGTTTTGGCAGAGCATTGTGATGAGCTAGACTGTATTTGCAATTAGGGTTAATAATCCATTCATAGAAATTACATCTTCTCTGTGGTTGCAGTTTAGTTACCTCCAATTAGTTTTCATTTGACTGCTTGGAGATTGCATTGCTATAACTCAGGTGGGAAGGGTTTTAACAATAGTTCTATTTATATTTCTTTACAAATATTTCTGTTAGTTAATCAGGGATGAGGCCATACTTCAGGCTGCTTATCCAGGCTTGTAGTTGGCCAAAATACTCAGAGTTCAGCTGACGCTTAAGGACTGACTCATCCTAAACAAACTTACAAGATGCTGATAGATCCAGGATGCCAAATTAATGGTGAGAAGTAGAAATGCCAAGAAGGCTGAGATGCTTTGGTCACTGGGTCACGGTACGCTTTGCCAGTAGTGGGATCTACCTTGGAAACCAAGTTATTTAAGGTTGCTTATTAATCATGGACTCTCAGCAGGGCAAGTAGCTGGGTGAGGTTAGTGACTAATGTTATGGAGTCTAATCCGCCCATCTGTACTCTTGGGCAATAATTACTTAGCAGATGAAATAGTCGGAGTGACTGGTTATGGTACCCGTTCTCTCTGGACAGTGCTGGAGGTATTGACAAGTCCTGACTATTTGGCTGTCCATTTCCTAGGCTCCTTACACAGCAAACTAGTCAAGAGCACATATTCTGGGCTTAAATCCTATCTCTGCCACCACCCAGTTGTGCAGCTTAGCGAAGTACTTCAACACTTTCTGTCTCATTTTATTTTCTTTTTCTTCATTTTTTAAAAATTTTACTTTCTTCAACTGCAAATTAGAGATGATAATAGCCGTACTTACCTCATGGAAGAATAAATGATTTAAAATCTGTGAATCATGTAGAAAAGTGCCAGATGCAGTGTAAGCTCAGATGAAGTCTTACCTGCTATTATTGTTAAAAGGTCATCTTATCAGCCAGGAGTTTTTAATTTCAAGTGACAGAGATCCAGTTCAAACAGTCTTAAACAGACAAGGGAACTATCAGGCTGTATAGAGTTGATTCTTATCATTCGTGGTAAGTAAGTTCTATGAAGTTGCTGTGAACCCAAAGTAGTAAAGACTGAGCCATTGCTCCCGGGGAACCATGGGGTTAGTTAGCTTCCTGTTGAGAGCCTCCATCAACAGATCAATACATAACTTTGTTTTGTGTGGGCTTAAGTGTGTTTCTGTTTAGATGCCTTGTTTGATATTTATTTCTTACAAATGATTAATTCTGTACAATATTTCTTTGTAGTAAAACATTAGTCAGGAAGCATTTTTAGCATTTTCCTGACCCTGGCTAATGTGATGGTAAATTTCTTTGGCTTTCAGCCTCACAACGTGCTGTCCACTCCATGCTGTAATCAGTCATCAGTCCCGAATCCACAGATTCAGTTGCTCTTCCATCTTTTCTGTAGCTTCATTATGAACTCACTGTAGCTGTTACTTTGGCACTTTCCAGTGGCCCCATGTACAGATCAGTGAATTTTCTCTTTTTTCGTTAGCATTGAATTCACAGCCAACAGCACTGGAACTTAGGCATGAATGAAGCTCATTAATCACATGTGTTTTCTTTGCAAGGCACATCACGGCCTTCTTGTACTTAGGAACGCTAGACAGTACTTCAGCGTTATGCTTGGGGGCCATTTTAAACAGTGAAATCAGCACCAAAAAATGTGAAAGAATGAAAAATATGGTCATAAGCAGATGAAAAAAGAGCACTTGCTTACCGTATGCGAGTTGAAACAAGAAGGTAGAACATTGTCTTGTTTGACTCCAGCTGGGACATGCACATAAGGTGGCTCAAATTTTTCACCTCTTTTCACATTCTTGCACATTCTTCTGGGAATGACTGCAGAAATACTCTGAGCATTGATTTTGAGGTTACAAATCAATTTCAGTGAGTAGGCAAACTCACTAGGATGGGATCCATGAATAATGAAACACAAGTATACTCAGGAAGGTGGTGGTGCTGGCTCCAGGTAAGAGAAGATCCAAGGCTCAATCAGTGTCCCTGAGACCCTTGCTGTCTCTTGTCTTTGAACCTCTCTGGCTGGTAGCTTCATAATGTGTTACAGGTATCCTCTGTGGCAGGGGAGGTAGCTTCCAGCGGCTTTAGTTACCCTTTAGAGGCAAAAGGCAGGCTTCTATCAGTGCTGAATGGAACTTAATGGGGAAGAACTCTGGCCACTTGGGTGCGTGAACCTATCCCTGCACCAATCACAATGGCTTAGGGGTGGCCTTTGATTGGCTTGGCCAGGGATAGAGTTTGTTCCCAGATAAAGAGGGACTTGGGGAGAGAGATTAGAAGACAAAAAAAACCCAGTCAATAACACCCTTGAGGAAGTTATTTTAAACTAAACTTCATTCTTCAGAAAGGATGCACCACATTAGTTATGGCTTTCTCTTGCATTAAGTGCGTTTCAGTCATGGCCTCTCTCCCTGCCTCCACCCCCATTTTAATGGATGAATAGTGTTCCATTGTTTTTTTATTGATGAGTACTATCCAGGTTGATGGACATTTGGGTTGTTGCCATTTTTGTTTAGTATAATAAAACTACTGTGAGCATTGTTTATAGAGCTTTGTGTATGTAGGTGTGCAATTGTAGCTTTTTTTTTTTATTAAAGTGTAGTCAGTTTACAGTATTGTCTCAGTTCTGGTTTACAGCATAATGTTTCCGTCATACATACTTATATTCATTTTCCTATTGTTTTTCATTATAGTCTACTAAAAGGTATTGAATATAGTTTCCTGTACTGTACAGTAGAAACTTGTTGTTTATCTGTTTTATATATAGTAGTTAGTATCTGCAAATCTTGAACTCCCAATTTATCCCTTCCCAACCTCGGTAACCATAAGTTTGTTCATTTTCTATGTCTGTGAGTCTGTTTCTGTTTTGTAGGTAAGTTCATTTGTCTTTTTTTTTTTTTTTAGATTCCACACATGAGTGATATGTGGAATTTTTCTTTCTCTTTCAGGCTTAGTTCACTTAAATGACGATCCCCAGGTCCATCCGTGTTGCTGCAAATGACATTATTTTATTCTTTTTTATGGCCGAGTAGTATTCCATTGCATAAATATACCACAACTTCTTTATCCATTCATCTGTTGATGGACATTTAGGTTATTTCCTTGTCTTGACTATTGTATATAGTGTTGCTATGAACATTGAGGTGCAAGTATCTTTTCTAATTAGAGTTCCTTCTGGATATCAATCATAGCTTCTTGATACCATATTTCTAAACACACTGTACTTGGCTGGTTAAGGGGATGGCTTAATGCTACAGCTGCCTAATCTCATTCGTTCTCTCTTAATTCTGACTACTTTCACTCTCGGGCAGCTTTCTTTTCAAGTTTCTAAGATATCCAGTGTTGTGTACTGACTACAGTTTAGTCATTCTACACGTTTTTGTGTGTGTTCTTGCTCCTGTAGGTGACATGGAAATCTGTGGGTGGCAGTGTAGCCCAGCGGGTAAGAGTGTGGACGTTGGCAGCAGGCCTGGATTCATAGCCAGGTGCTGTTCCTTCCAGCTTTGTGACCTTGGGCATGCTTCTTAATCTCTCTGAGCCTTGCTTTATCTGAAAATGATGCTAAAAATAGTACTGAGGGCACAGGGTTGTTGTGAAGATGAAATGAGATAATGATATAACATGCTTATTAGCACAGTGACTGTGGCACGATAAGCGCTGTGATGCTGTACATAGCATTACTGATAGGAGAGATAAGACAAACAGCAGTTGAGCAAATTGAGAAAATTAAATTGACTAGATTATGTGATCTTGCTGCTATTCCTAAATGTCTATCCTCCCTCCACCTGCCCGCCCCACACCCAGTTTGCATTTTCTCTCCTTCCCTCCTTCCAGTCATTGCACTTAACTCAAAGAATAACATTTAAGCTGATTATTTTATTTTAGCTTTAGAATCTACCCTGGAATAAAAACCAGAAGCAGAACTTTCTGATTAAGACAGTAAATTGAGATTCAGCTTTGTATTTTACTTTGGGCCTTCTTACGCCTTTCCTGAAAGACTCAAGAGTTCAAAGAGTTGATCAGATAGTATTTATCATAGGTAGTCAAATAGCATTCCATTGTTTGGAAACACCACACTTTATTTCCTCAATTGATGGGCATTTGAGTTATTTCCGCTTTTTGGTATTATAAACAATGCTGCTGTGAACATTCATGTATGTTTTTTGTGGACGTGTGTTTATAATTCTCTTGGGTATGCTATACACATAGGCGTGAAACTGCTGGATCCCAAGGTAACTGTGTTTAGCCTTTTGAGGAACTGTCAGTCTGTTTTCCATTTTCATTCCCACCAGCAGTGTAAGCTCCAATTTCACCACATCCTCCCCAACACTTGTTATTATCTGTTTTTTCTGACTGTAGCCAAGGGATGTGTAAGAGGAAATGGCAGAGAAGATAACGTTTTCTTTCCATTTTTCTGTTTTGAGTGGTGAATTACTACTATGCATGCTAACAATAGGCTACCTAAAGAAGTTAATTAGTTCAAGAATTTTTTAAAAATTGGGCATAAAATTAAAAGGAAAGAAAAAATATAAAAGGAAAGGTGCAAGGAGAAAGGACAAGGTGAAAATCATGAGAATAATTTCAAAACAGTGATCACCATAATGGTCTGCATAGATTGTTTCAGCAAGTCTCCCATACTTAGAATTCTTCATCAGTGATCTGAAAACCACATTCTGTGTTCACTGTTCCTTTACACAAACAAAATTTGTTTAGAAATGATTTTTAAACTCCTACTAAAACACAAAAACAGCATTATTATTGCAACTACTTTCAGCAATATCAGTATGTTTTATTTCGAAATACAAGGTATCTGAGGAATATTAAGGAGAAAGTTATTTTTTGAATTCATTACATTTACTCCTTAAAGTGATTTTTTTCTGATTTTTCCCCCCACCCTTTTTTACCAAGCCCTCTCTAGGCTACATGACTCCCTGAAGGACCAGAACAATGTTATGTTGGGGATATTGGTCTCTGGGCCAACCTGGGATCAGCACCAACCTGCAGGGGATTGTGGCCGAGCCACAGGTGTGTGGCTTCATATCCGACAGAAGCGTCAAGGAGGTGGCCTGTGGAGGAAACCACTCCGTGTTCCTCCTGGAAGATGGGGAAGTTTACACATGTGGTTTGAACACCAAGGGGCAGCTGGGCCATGAGAGGGAAGGAAACAAGCCAGGTGAGTGCACCTTGTCGGCCTTGATGAGACGTGAGACAGGCTGAGGACCAGGAGAGGTGGTCCAAGGTTTCCTCACCAACTGGTGATCTTTCAGGGAGGCTCTCCTTTTGGTGAGAAGTGACGAGGTCGGGTCTGAAATTGTGACTGTGTAGATTTTGTTACACTAGCGTGGACACGTGCTGCTTTCTTCGTTACTGTCTTTTTTAGTTCAGTCTGAAGCAAATTAAGATATAGGAGCTTCATTAAAGAAGAGCCTTGCTGTTTTTTTTTTTTTCTGGATGATTTTACTGTTTTATATTCACTTAGGAAACTCAATTTGGTACCAGGATGAGTTTTTTTTCCCCCCTGTGACTGCCTGCCTCTTTTCTCATATTTGTTCCCTCGCATAACATGTGGCTGTGTTCCATAGTTTCCCTGCCCAAACGGCAGTATTAATTTTGTATATTTAATTATTAATTTTTATATTGACCCTTGGATAAAGGGCTGCCTGGCTGGTCTTGAGGATAAATTGTGAAGTATGATTTGTGGGCTGTTTCCCCATTCTTTGCCTCCAGGTTTCCTCATTGGAGCCTCTCTAAGATACCCCATCAGGCCTGCCTACCTGGAGCAATACCCAGTATTCTAGCCAGGGGCTCCTAACCTGTCGGCCCTGGACTTTGGGGATTTCAAAGAAGGGGTTTGTAGCATGGGCTATACGTGTGTGCAACTTTAAATGTACAGTGCACCTGATACCACCTGTTTTCAAATGTAAGCAGATCCTAAAATAAAAATTCAAGTAACAGTGCCACCAGTTTATAAACTGAGTTAGTAAATCCTAATCATCATGCGTTTAACCAATTAATATACACAAGTATAGTAGTTATGGGGTGGCAGGAAGGTTTTTGGCTTTTAAAAATGATTTTCATATTGGAAACAAGGTCTTCTTTCTCCTCCTCCTGTTAAAACTCATTTGTCTTATGTGACGCTCCCATGCTTGCTGTGCTTCCGCAGGTGAGCCCTGGTATCTAACACCTGCCGCCTGCGGGGGGGTGCTGGCAGGTTCCAGCCCATCAGTGTGCTCCTTCCTGGGGGAATGTCTACGTTTAAGATCCACTTTAAGAGACACTTAAGGCCCACATTTCACCAGTGACCCTTGGAGGACTTGTACCCACCCTGGCCAGCCTTTGAAGGGAGTGTTTTGGGGACGAGGAGGAGATCTGTCTGGTACTCCTGCAGAGACAACATGGCAGGGTGAGCTCTGGAGTCAGACAGACCTAGTGGAGGTGTTACCTGTCTCTGACTCTGTATTTCTGGGCCTCCGTTCCTTTCCTGTAAAAGAAGCCTTCTCGCTGACCTGTAGCTCTTGATGAAGTAGATACAAATGGTAAAGAGGTCTCCACAAAGTTACCTGTAGCCTGCAAAGGCCGCCATCCTCCACCCCCCCCACCCCGGTCCTGTCTTCTCTGTGACTCCGCCTTCTGTCAGACAGCCTCCTGCCATGTCCCACTGTGCACCTTCGTCCTGGACCCTGGGGTGAGAGGATTCCACCTGGGGTGGACAGGTGAAAAGGAAATAAAACCTTACAGGCCAGCGATAGCGAGGATCTGTGGATGGCACCACAGTGGATGCATCTGAGTGTAATCTGACATTCTCCCAGGGAGCCTCCTGCCACAGCGCTGGGGGGGCTGGCGCTGGCCGGTTCCTGGGCCCCCTGGGAGTGAGTGAGCAGTGGCGAAGCAGTCAGTCGGCTTCTGCCCACACACGGCCAGCCTGCAGCCGCTCCCTGTAGGCAGAGCTGCGTGATTGCAAGAGACTGGAGCTAGAGGTGTGCCAAGAAGGCTTTCAGATTCAACCACGGAATCCAGCCCATGCTTGTAATCTATATTTGGAATAAGCAAGACTCTAGTGTAAATTACAGTGGATTCCAGAAATTTCTGTTGCTGGTTAAGTTCGTCTGTTAATTATAAACTCCATAGCAGCTGCGAAATAGTGCCTCTTTGAATGCAAAGATTATGTGGGTGGGTGCCTCGCTCTCTTTAATTTTTTCATTGGTAGGTGTGTTCTAAGTCTGGGTACCATTGGATTTATTTTTAATCAGTGGGAAAAAGAGAATGAGCTTGTGTTGTGTGTGTGTTTACTGAGAACTGTGACCTGGAGTGCTGCTAGGCACACAGGGGAAGCCAGTGACAGAGGGACCCTGTGTTGGGCGGTCTGTGCTGCCCTGGCCCCCCGGAACGCCATCCCCAGGGAACCCTGCGGTCTCGGGGGAGGGAGCTCGCTAGAAGGGAGCCTGCTCTGGGGGCAGTGGGCAGGTCTTTGATTCCAGGTCAACATCATTGCCCAGGCCAAAGGATTTCACGGGATGGAGGATTTAAAAAAGTGATGGGTAGGAAAGGTGGGAGAAGGTGGTGACGTTGGGGATGTGCCAGGACCAAACTCTTCAGTTTGAACTTGTGCCTTGAGTCTGGCCAGCCGGCTGTGAAATGTCAGTTTCTATACTTTGTCTCTAACAGCTACAAGGTGCTTGAATTCTTTTTTTTTTTTTTTTTTCGGGAGGAATCCTGTACTTGCCACAGAGCAGTGGTATAAAGCCCTTCACAGTGATTTAACGGGTTTATTTTTTTCCTCCTTGAGATCACCTAATAGTTTCCTGTTGCTTTTGCGGCTTCTGAGGCTGCTGTGCCTTCCTTGGACTCTGACTTCTCTGCTTCTCCACGCTGCCCTTATGTGACCAATGTTGTGCCTGTCTCTGTGTGGCTCGGGGAGGGTGTTTTGAGGGCACAGCAGGTACTGAAACTCCTGGTTGTGCTGGCCCTGATGTTTTCCCAGTGTGTCAGGCAGCTTAGGGTTCTAGCTTAGGTGTGTCCATGACTCATACATTTGGGCTTCAGCCAAAGGCAAAGAGGCCTGTGATTCCCAGAAGCATTTTTAGTGGGCAGAATATCAGAGCCCTTTCTAAACTCAATGTCTAGCTTTTTTTTTTAAAAAAAGTGTTGGATTATTACTGTTGTGCATACTCCTTTCCCAGAGGACTTTTTTCTCCTTCATTTTCGCCCTCACGTTGGTATCAACCTTGTCTCCTCCCCTAGATCAGGGATAGTTTCAGTGCTTAGGACAATCTAGGATCATTACTAATTTCCTCATGTCTTGGCCCATGATGTCATCTCACAATTTCCCAAGACGTACGGTTACAGAGCTGCATTACAGGAAGATGGGTGTGCCTCCTTGTTTTTTTTTTTTAAATAAAGCCAGCAAACAAAACAAGTTTTCTTCTAAATGATGCTTTTTAAAAAATTACTGATAAATGTATAACTGAACGTTAATCAAATCTTGAAATATTTTATTAAATTAAAATAGAAACTGGTCACCCATAGAAAAACATTCAATAATTTTACCTCAGTTTACCATGCTTTGCTTACTCCTACCCATCCTCAGTGTCAACACTACTCTTCAGCTGTACGGACTGCTTTCCTTTTCCCATACATACTCTGACTCCCTATATTGGGATTTTAGCATCAGCTAATCCTTGTGTTATCAGGGATGTCTGAATTTATGTAAACCTCCTCTAACCTTTCTTCCTGTCTTGAATAGGCGAGAACTGTGGTAGGTGCAATTACTTAATCTCATTTGACTATGTTAAATTTTAAACATTCTGCATGGACATCCCAGGAAACCTTTCCATAGCAAACGCCACAGGTAACCATTTATAAACAGACTTTTAACATTTCTGTGCCACGCTGTTTGATTCATATCTGTGGTTGGTTCTTTTTACCTCCTCCTGAGTTAGTTTCTCGCTTTTTTGCAGGTAATTTAACCCAATTCACATTCACACTTTGTATTCAATCTAGGCATTTTCGTAATGCCCATCACCATATGTAACAGCTCTCCCGCCGCTTGATAAATGAGGTTTATAAAGCGGAACACCTCAAAAGCCTCAATTCCCAGGGCTGTGGATGCTGCTAACCCTGGTAGAAGAAACACTCTCAACTAGCTTATCAGGTTGTTCTCGGGCATCTGAAGGACACAGTAACTCTGCCATGTTAATCAGCTTTTGCCGAAAAGCAGACTAGCTGAGCTGAAGGAAAGGGAAGAAATGCTGTAATAACTTCCTCACTTTGAGGTGCATGTTTCCATGGCCGTAACTCTGATATAAGAGGCAGAAGGTGCCAAAGCCAATGCTCAGATGTCAACATCGCACTTGTTAGGGGCCCATCCCTTCCTCATTAGGGAGGCTGCACGGCTTTTTTTTCTTTTTTTTTTCAGGGAGAGGGAGATAATTAGGTTTATTTATTAGTTTTTTTTAAATCAAGGTACTGGGGATTGAACCCAGGACCTCGTGCATGCTAAGTACGCACTCCACCACTGAGCTATGGCCTCCCCTCCGGCACAGCCCTTTCTGATGACGATGATGACAGTAATCAGACCCCATGGGGTGTGTTGTTGCTTTGATAGCTCAGTGGACAGCTTTCCGGTCCAGAGGCCTAGGGATCCGGAGCAAATGCCATTTAATAATTTTATTTTCTGGTATGGCTAATTGAAAGTTACTTTTTTCTGTCTATAGTACTCAGCCTACTTTCTTTAAAGACATTTGAATGTTTTAGAAAATATATCCTTATTAGTGAGCATGTTCTTCACTGTGAGATGTTTTTGTTTTTAAAAATTTGCAGTTTACTTGTAAGTAATTAACACAGTGGTTTGCATTGTGATACAAGGGTCTCAGTTCATTTGTTAATTGTAAAAGTGGTTAACTATATATATTACAAGCTCTCTTCATCTTGATGTGCTTAGCATTTTTAAGCTGATTAATCCTCATGATAGTCCTGTTAAAGTAGGTCAGAATTATTATCCCAGATATATGTAAAGGAGAAGAGGAAAGAAAGTTGAGTTTGAGTCTTACTTGGGTACTGACAGACAGTTTGGTTTTAAGAATCCTAGAATTTTGTCCACAGACATCTTTTTAACTTCAGGCTGATTGGGAAAGCTCAATAGAGTTTTATTTTCAAGCTGTTTTTTTGTTTACATTTAATTTCCACTTAGTCCTTATAAAAGAAACAAAAAAGATGTAAACGTGGCCTCCAAGTAGCTTGTATTCTTTAATTTACCTGTTAAAGACCACATATGATCGAAGTGCTTTGATTAAAAGTACAGAGAGACAATTCTCTTTCCTCTTTAAAATCATTAGATGACTGTTTGTCAGCCTGTTCTTTTATGCTCCTTAGAGTGCCGGATAATCTGGGGAGAAAGAACACATGATAATTCACATCTCGGGCGGATACATTTTGCCTCGCAATTTACTCTTGTTGTTCCTTTATTTCCTTGAATTATTTGCGTCTTATTCAGTGATTGATTCAGCAGATATTTACGAAGTGATTAGACTACTGGATTCCTCATTTGTTCTAGATGCTGTCAGAACACCACATGTTTAGCACAGAGCTACCCTTTGGGAGTTTATAGGCTTGGTGGGAATAAGGCGTATTCCTGTGAAGGTTACATAATGCCGTTCGCCATGTGCCCAGCAAGTGATAAAGGTCCTAAGTGTGTCAGAATGAGGATTATAATGAAGAGTTAGGTCTATGTCAGCTCACCAACAATGCTGACTTCTAATTTCTCAGAATGTCATCTTTTCCACCCACATACATATAAAGTTCTAAGTTTATCTTAAGTTTGTGAGCTTGCAGGAGGAGTGAACTCTAGAAGTTCAGAGAAGGGGCAGCTTTGGTGATGATGTCAGTGCTGCAGGGATGTTCCATGATTTTAGTAAGTCCACCCTTGAATTTTTGTGTTGCAGTCTGAATTTCATTGTTTGGTGGCTTTGATGAACTCTTGTCTAGCTTGGTGATCTGTGATCTCGACAGGTCTAGGATAAGTAAAGTGTTTCTAAATTTATCAGTCTGAATGGGGTATGTGTAGTCAGCTGCTACTTCATAGTGATTCAGGAGCTACGGGAATGTTTGTCTTTCTGAGTACACGCCCTTCGACAGCATGTAATGTTGAGATATGGGGTAACTCTCCAACAGATACGGTCTCATATCCTTTCAGGCTTCAAATCATTTTCTTCTCTCACTATTCAGACATGTTTTGCAGTTTCTATTTTATGTAGTTATTAAATAACTCATAGCAACTGAAATCGTTATTGTAAATGATTTTAATTTAGAGTGTTAGCTAATTATGCAGGCAGTGCAATGAATAAGAGCATGGACTCTGGAGCCAGACTTATAGTTTGGAATCCTGGCTCTGCCACTCACTGGCTGTGTGACTCTGGGAAAGTTGCTTAACCTCTCTGTATGTCAGTTCTCTTAATTGTAAAATGTGGATAATGTTAATATCTACCTGTTAGGGTTGTTTGAGGATTTAGAAAGTTGTATGTCGGGTGTTTGGAATAATGCCTGGCCCAAAGTAAGCACTAAATTAGTGCTAGCTGCTGTTACTAGTAGTGGTAGTAGTAATTTGTCTTAACACCTTCCATTACAACTTTTTATTCTATTCCAGCATATTAACAAATAGATAAATTCATTACATATATATTGTATTTATACATATATAAATAATTGCGTTAATCATCTTTATAGGTTCCCTTAACGCTGCAGGATCTGATGAGTGGTATATACCTCCAGGGGAGGGAGATGATGTAGGCTAGGGTCGTTAAGAGAGACTTCACACATTATGCTTATTTTTATATTTTGAATTTTAGAGGACCATCTGTTTTCTATTTTTTGGTCCTTTACCTTATTGGTCCCAAGAAAAGTACCTTGCATATATTGGGAACTCTGTATAAATGGATCATCCATATATGGACATGCATACATTTATCTTACCTCAACACCGTGGTTAACACTGCCTCAGCATTCTGGTCCAAAATTGCAAAGATAAGGGAAGCAAATGAGGCCGCTGGGGATGTTATGGCACACAAAGGGCTATTTTGTGATGCTCCTAGAAGATTTGGCAACAGTTGGCCAGGTGACTTGATCTCGCCACAGGTTCGAAATTAGACAGCAATCCATTGATGCTTGAGCACCGCTGAGCTCTATGGGCAGTTACTTTAGGCTTCCATTTAGCTTTGATGGGGGTGGATCTTTGGACAGGGATATACATGACCTGAAAGAAGGTAAGTGGTCTCCTTCCTGCATTCTGCACTTGCCTAAGAAGAGATCATTTTGGAATCTGAACCTGTCTGATCTTTTTTTTTTTTAATGGGCCTGTATAAGTCAGGATGCTTTCAGCTGCAAGTAACAGAATACTAAACTAAATGTGGCATGAACAACAAGTAAAATATCTGATCTCACATTGAAAGTCCATAGAGAGATGTTTCTAGGATTGGTTAAGTCAAGGGCATACTGACACCGTCAAGTACCTGGGTGCTTCCCGTCTTTCTATTCTGCCATCTTCAGTTTGTTGACTTTCTTCCTTGGGCTTGTCCCCTCATGGTCACCAAGTGCCTGCCGCAGCTCCAGGCATCACATCTTCACCTTGTTCAAAGGCAAACTGGAAGGGGAGTTACTTGCATCACCTTTCAAAATGGGGCAGATCTTTTCCAGGAACTCCTAACATCTTCTTTACTCTCATTGGCCAGGCCTGGGTTACATGCCTACCCTAGACCAGTCACTGGCATGCCTGATTAGTGAAATAAGAGTCATCTGATTGGCATAGTCAGGACTCATCTCCTGGGCCTCAGGAGGGGCCCAGCGGCCCTGAGGATTCTGGTGCAAGGAAGGAGTGGGTGATGAGATGGCTGACTGGCAAGCAATGCATGGTGTCTGATTTCATACTGTGTGCAAACTTGTGTCTTTGACACCCTAAAGTGAAACCACGAGTCTGTATTTTGCTCCATATTATGCTCAGTAGTTCCTTTTACGAAGTCAACACCTTCGCATCTGCTTTTAGAACAAAACTAATGGTTGTCGTCATGAGGCAATGCATTCTCTGTAGTGTTTATTATATGATATATGATGTGGAATAGTGTATTTCTTAAGAGTTACTATCTTACCTTTATATCTTAGTGATAAGCGTAATGTAGTAGGCACATAGTGTAGGAAATGTGTTAAATAAAATGTCTTGTGGGTTTTATTATTTTGTTAATTTGCCATGTTCTGTATGAGCCCAGGGAAATTGCTGCGGGCTTGGCAAAGATTAGAGTGATCTGTGTTTAAAGAAAATCGTTGGATTTTAAGGATGAAGGATAAAAGAGTGACTTGACTGGTAAAGATTTCCATTTATTAGGCTTCACAGAACTAAAAGTGGATTTGGTGCCACACAGCAGAACAACTCCAAAGGGAGCTGTAGTAGACTCAGCCACTTCAGCTCAGTAAACCTTACCAATTTTATCCATTTTTAGAAAGATGGCAAAGATTTTGAAAGTGGTCTGAGAACATTTTCTTTAACAAGTAGTATCACCTGGTCCAAGAAGCAGGCATTCATATATTAGTGATCCCTCCTCATTTAATTGTCAAACTAATAAAAATCACGAAATGAAACAGACTTTAATGTACACACTTTAGGATGCCTCCCATCCCCCCTACTGCACCTTTCTTGGCAATAAGTAAATTTCCAGGTGAGTATGAATGTCTGTTGATATGACTGATACATGTCTTCCAGTGATGATTTATTTGTTTGGCAGAATGTATGGGTGTGAGTTTAGGTATGAATCAGTGATGGATGGATGGGAGTGGAGTTTCGTAGTAATGCGAAGATTCATCCTTCCTGCCAAATCTCCAGCCCACTGATGTGGTTGTAAGATTTGCTGGGCCCCGTTTAATGCCTGCATTTGTCCCTCAAGTGCTTTACCAACAAGGGTCAGCTCTGCCACTCTGTGGTGCTTTTTTTTGGACGTGAGAATTGTCCCATTATATTGAAAGTGTTATTTTCTCCCTTGTGATATTTTTCTCCTTTGCTGCTGTCAGCTGTTAAAATGGAAACATGTGCAGTGGACTCAGATACTCTCAAAAGGAATATGATTTACCTCATTAAAAATCTGTGAGTGTCTGAGAACTTTCTATGCGGTCTAGTCACAATAGCGTCTCATCTCAGCCTGTTAACTTTTTTTGGGGAGTTGTTCTTTCTGTGAAGAAGAGTGTTATAAGGCTCTTTCCCTTGTTTCAAGGTCATTAGCTTGCGGAGAGTCCCTACCAATTGAAAAAACCTGTTTCCCACTTCAGATAGAGTTGTGTACTTTATCATGTGAAAGCAATCTTTTATTTATTGGTTTGGAACTGGCCTCTTGCTGTACGGAGAGTACTGATCATGGGAAAATAGATTGTGCTGACTGAGGTAGTGAGTTCAACATTCTGCCCGTGGTCCGAGGCTGTTTGGGTACCAGGTCAAAATAGGGCGTGTATGGGGGTGGGGCCCTTATGCCCTTAGGCAGCAAGTCGTCTGGCTTCCTTCTTGGAAGTGGAGGCAGGTGGTCTAGGCCCACCTGAAAGCAAGAATGTTGGTAACGAGGAGGAGAGAAGGGCAAGTTGGAAGAATGAAGAATGGCACTCACTCTGAGCTCACTGGGAGGCACAAGTTGAACACTCTGTCCCCTTCGCATGAGGGAAAGAAGGCTTAAGTAATGCGGAGTGTTTTTATTTACTCTGAGGGGGCATGTGACAGGAGCCCTCAAACCAGCTAGTCATGAATGAGGAGTTGGAAGTTTCTCTGATATCCTTATGATGTGAGCCCATGTTTTACCCATCCTTCTGTTTTTCATTCTTCACTGAAAGCAGCGTTCGAGGTAGAAACGCTTTGCCTTTAGTCTCTACAGTGTAGAGATGCTAGTGATGAACAGTATGTAATCATTCTAACTATTTCGTGCTCTCCCGCTGGTCACTGAGGGTATAATTCAGATTACCTGGATACCTGTCGCCTTTTTTTTTACTATTCTCATTCATCAGAAGGTATCTCACAGGGTGGGGAATTCATCTTTAGGTTTTATACAGGTTTTGTAAATAGCTGCTTTTTATGTATCTAAACTGACAAAATGTGATTAGGAGTGGGAAGGGGAGCGGTATTTCTCTCTCCCCACCCCTTTTCTCCACCTGCCTGCCTGCCTGCCTGCCTGCCTCTCTCTCTCTCTCTCTCTTACACACACACACATCACCAGACATAGGCTGAGTTGGGGGAGAGGGCCGGTACCTTTTACCCAGGGTTGGGCAGGACCCCTGACTTACAGAATTTCTTTTCCTTAGCATTTTATGAGCTTGAGAAAAATCGAATTCTTATTCCATCTCCTTAAAGCCATCCCTTTGTTAAATTACTTTATGAATACCATTTTACTACCTTGACTTAGATATTTTGGGGCACTAACACTATTTCAAGTTTGTCCACAGTTTAAATGAACCTTTAATTTTGGCAGTGATGAGAAGACACATCTCTTGTGGCCAAACAAAGCTGTCTAGAGACCTTCTTAGGACCCGGGGTAGCCTCAGGCTTTAGTGCATGTGGATGGAAGCAACCAGTGAAAGCTTTGTGACAGGAGAGACTGGAGGGAAGCAAAGACTTTTCTTAAGGATTTAGTTTAAGTACCTATACGTGTCTCTAGCTCTGAATGGTGAGACCAGAGCCCCAAGTCAAGAGGAAGCCATGCTTCTTCCGCTTGTCCTGTTGTTCCCCTTCCCTCAGTGCATTCTTGACTCTCAATTTTATATGTCACTGCTCGGTGTAATTTGCATATTTGTATAAAGTACTCGGGCACTTTGACTTTCCTTAGGCTTTTATGCAGAATTTTTTTCTGGTCAAGGTTGCATGGCTGCACAGGTAAGTCAGGCATATGATAGCAGGTACTTACTACGCGGAAAGAATGGTTTACTTAATAAATGCCATTGATGTAATTGACTGTTCACCTCCAAACACACCTAGACTCCCTAGCTCAGTCCATATTCAAAAGTAACTTCCAGATAAACACACAAATGTACAAAGTAAAACTACAGAAAAAAGGGGAATGTATTTAAAACCTTGGGGCTTCTAACGTGAGACAGGTGGTCCAGAAGCCATAAAGTAAATGATTGGCAAATTTGCACAAACAGAATTTTTTCTGTGATACAAGACATGCATAAATGAAGCCAGTGATGAGTCATAGACTGGGAGAAATAATTGCTGCAAACTACCAGGTAGAGGTTTCATATTTCTAATGTATCAGAGCAGCTTCAAATTGATAAGAAAAAGATAAGCAACTCTGTAATAAAATGGACATTCTATAGAAGAGTGCTTGCCACTGGCCAATGAATAAATGAAAATATGCTCAGGGAATTTTTAATTAAAACAAGATACCATTTTTTCATCCATTTAATTGGAAAAAAATTTTAGAGTACTATCCTCTTCTCACTGGTATTGGAAAATGGGTACTGTCATGTCTTGATTGAGGAGGTGTGCACTGCTGTGGTCTTTTTGTAAATCAACTGGCTGTTTTTAGTAAAATTTAAAATGGTCAAACTTCTGAATCAGCAGTTCCATTTTTAGGAAGCTCCCTTACTCAAATGAAAATGGCACCATATAGCATAAGGAAGTATTTCTGTGGATGCTTATTGCAACAGTGTTTTTAATGGCAAAGTAACAAACTGCTCATCCTCTAGGGGATAGGTTGAATAAATAATAACGGAGAAAGCTTTAAGTACCATCTTTATAATGTTTATTCACACAGTATTTCCAGCCTCAACTTCACTGAATCCCAGGCTTGATTTCCACTTGAAATCTCCACTTGGATGTGTAACTGGCATCTTAAATTTAACGTATCGAAAGTCAAACTGATTCTCTCTCCCTTAAGCCTGTTCCTCACTCTGTTCTTCCATTTTTGTAAAAGGCAGTTCTGTTCTTCAGGTCAAAAGCTTTAAAGTCATCTTGGATTCCCTGCTTCTTCCCACTCCTTTCCTTTTGTTGCAGGAAAACGTGTTACAGCTCAGTGTTACAGCTCGGTGTTGTGACAGCAACCTGGATCCAGGCGAGAGACCAAGCAGCACTCGGAGAGTTGGAGAACTCAGGTTTATTATGCCAGCGGGCCCAGAGGAGTTAACACTCCAAGCTCTGGACCCCGTCTGTAGGTTTACACAGGCTTTTATAGGCTGCCAGTTTACACTTTGCAACATCATATGCAAATAAAGTATAACAAAAGTTGACTAATTAGGAACAGGCTTTGTAGAAATGGACCAATCGGGTGGGGGGAGAAATAACCAGTCAGGAGTGAGGGAAATGGACCAATCAGGAGTGAGCCCACTTTCATAGAAATTAGCCGGTTCAGAGGCAAAAAGTGAGATAAATCCGCTGGGCCAGCAACCAGATGTGCTGATAGGAGAGTAGTGGCCCTGCCTGGGGGTCCTGCTGGTCTTTTTTATGGGATTTCCCACCTCCCTTTTACTACCCTTTGAATTTCTTACCCTCTGCCCAGCACCTCTTTATTTCTAGTCCCTGCTTTGTTTTTCTTCATAGTTTATCCCTATCTGATGCCCTACATGCACCTTCATTCATATCTCCTCTTCCTCCCTCTCTCATATTTATTTATGCTCCATGAAGATCGGGGCTTTGTTTTATATCCTCAGTTCCTAGAATGGTATGTTGCACGTAGCAGTGCCACCTTCAGTAATTATTTTTGAATAAATGATACTGTGAAAAGAGACAAAAAAAGTTTCTAACTAAGGACTATAGACTATAGAATCCCTTTTTTTGTACAAATAAAACCAAGCCAAAACTTTGTTTTAATAAACTACGTTCCTTTCATTTTTCCTCCCCGTGGCTGCTCTGTGGAGTTCATTTCTAGACAGGCTCGCACAGCTCCAAGTGTCAGGCATTTGCCTGGTGGCTGTAATGCTCTGCATGTGTACAGGTGTGAAGCTGCTGAGACAGGAGGGGCACCCGAAGACATCCTGTCTGCTGTCCTGTATTAGGTTTGCCTGATTTGCTTTTAGGGGTCTGAAGTATTTGTGAGTCAGCTGCAAGTATCTTGTTGGTGCTAGGGACCTAAATATATGGAGCATGGACATCCTACAGTGTGTGATTTCCATGACCCAAATATGTATGAAGTTCTTTTTTAATCCTACGACTAAGTATTCCAGAATGGGAAGCCGTGTGATTACATCTGCAGTAAATAATGGCAGGTGTGTTGCTATGGCAGCTGACAACCTGCTGCCTAAAGTTTGGACCCATCCTTCACCCTGAGATGTATTTGCTTTTTCATAATAGCTTTATTGAGGTATAATTCACATATTATACAATTTACCCACTTAAGGTGTACAGTTCAGTGGGGTTTTTTGTTATATTCACCCCATACCCATTAGCAGGCACACAGCTCTTTCACCGCAACCCCTAGCTCTAGGCCGTTTGTTTTCTGTCTCTGTAGATTTGCCTCTTCTGCCTTTTCATGTAAACAGAATCATACAACATGTGGTCTTTTGTGATTGGCTTCTTTTAACTTAGCATAATGTTATCTTAGCATAAAGTTCATCAGTGTTGTAGCATGTATCAGGGCCTCATTCCTTTTTATTGCCAAACAATATTCCATTGTATAAATATACCACATTTTGTTTATACTTTCATCAGTTGGTTGATCCTGTGAACATTGGTGGACAAGTTTTAGTGTTGATACATGTTTTCCTTTCTCTTAGGTATTTATCTAGGAGTGGAATTGTTGAGTTATAGGATAACTCTAAGTTTAACCTTTTAAGGAGCTGCCAACTCTTTTTCCAAAAGTAGTTGCACCATTTCTATTCTTGCTAGTAGGGTCTGAGGACCGGAGAGTTTTTTTTCATGCACCTCTGCTCACAAGAGTGCCTACTTCATAGGGTTGTTGGGGGGATTAAATGAGGTAAAACATAAAGCTCTTAAAACAGTTCCTGACACATGGGAACCAGTCAGTAAGTGCTGACTATTTTACTATTAATTGATGAAGTGGGTAGTCCATGTGTATAACCAGTTCAGAATCAATGCAGCGTTTCCTTTTTATTATTGTGGTAAAGCATATGTAACAGAAATTTTACCGTCTTAGCCATTTTTAAGTGTACAGTTCAGTAGTAGTAAATGTTGTGTTACCATCACCACCGTCTATTTCTAAATCTTTTCATCTTGTAAAACTGAAACAATAGCTCCCCGTTTCCTTTTCTCCAGCCCCTAGCAGCCAGCACTCTGCTTCCTGTCTCTATGAATTTGACTACTTTAGCTACACACTTAGTATAATCCATGTTGTAGCATGTGTCAGAAGTCCTTTTTTAAGGCTGAATAATAGTCCATTCTGTGATATACTGCATTTTGTTTATCCATTCATTTGTCAGTGGACACTTGGGTTGCTTCCTCTTTTTAGCTACTGTGAGTAATACCTCCAAGAGCAGGTGTAAACAAATAGCTCTTTGAGACCCTGCTTTCATTTCTCTTCGGTATATACCCAGAAGTGAAACTGGCAGATTTTTAATTTTTTGAGGTGTCTCCTACTGTTTTCCATAGGGGCTGTACCATGTTACATTCTCACCAACTGTGTGCAAGGATTTCAGTTGCTCCACACCCTCACCAACAGTTGTTATTTTCTGTTTTTTTTCATAGCAGCCATCCTGATGGATGTGAAGTGCTATCTCATTGTAGTTTTGGTTTGCATTTCCCTAGTAATTAGTGATGTTGAGAGTCTTTTCATGTGCTTATTGGACATTTATATATGTTCTTTGAAGAAATTTCTATGTCCTTTGTCCATTTTTGAATTGGGTTGTTTGCTTTTTGTTGAGTTTTAGGAGTTTATATATCCTGGATATTATTCCCTTATCAGATATGTGAGTTGAAAATATTTTCTCCCATTCTGTGGGGTACCTTTTTACTCTGTTGGTAGTATCTTTTGATGTGGAAAATATTTAAATTTTCATGAAGTCCAGTTTGTCTCTTTTCCCTTTTTTTACCTGTGCCTTTGGTGTCCTATCCAAGAAATCATTACCAAATCCAGTGCTGTGAAGCTTTTCAAGGCAGTTTCTTAATATTCAGAATCACCTGGGCAACTTTTAAAAAAGTACAGATGTCTGCAATGAGAAACTATTAATCAAACTTAAGAGTGAAAGAAACAACAGAGGGGAGCTCAGGAGTCAGGAATGAGAAAAAATTATAGATATCTGGTCTTCCCTAAATGTTCTGATTCTGGAGACTTGGATGGACCCAGGTATACGTGTTTAGAGAAAGTTTCCTTAGGGCTTCTGTTGCTTATTTTCTGTCGTGAGTCACTGCTTTAGAGACTCCGCTCTGCGTACTCCTAGGAAGCTTCCCGCGGGCCTTCTCAGGCTGGTTTTATTTTTCATCCTTTGTCCTCTTATAATGTGCTGTACACATTTTTGTCATTGGATTTACTTCATTATAATGTAATTTTTAAAAATTGAAATACAGTCAATTACAATGTGTCTTTTTCTGGTGTACAGC